GGTTAAGGGCCTTACCTTAGCTCGTGTTGGGTCTGACTCATCTCGGGTCGTGAGACGTCCCTGGACTACTTTTGCTCTGAACCTGCAGGCGAAAACTCTTCCCCAAAGCCTAACCGTAAGACTCCTAAACACCAAACCCTAACTAAACCCTAATCCAGAAATCACTAAGCCCTAGGCCCTAGACCCTAACTGAAATCTAAAGCTAAAGCCACTAAACCTTCAACCTAAAAACCATGAAGCCGAACCCTACATTGCAAGGTCCCAAACGTTGCACCCCAAACCCTCGACCCTAAACTTTTTAGGGTTTAGGGTTCAGGGATTTAGGGGGGGGGGGGTTGCGGGTTTAGGGTTTTAGGGTTTAGGGGTTTGGGGTTTAGAGGTCTAGGGATTTAGGGTTTTAGGGTTTGGGGTTTGGGGGTTTCGGGTTTGGGGTTGGTTTCGGTAAGCGGAAGTGAAGCCAGGTGTCGTCTTGACTTTCGAGAACGGCGTGACATGCACCGCTGATCTAGTGGTCGCTGCCGATGGCATTCACAGCGTGGTGAAGAGAAACTTCGTAATAAAGTGGGTAACCTTTCGCTTTTCTGGGTACTACAATCCCCACCTATTTGAGAATACAGCCGAGAAGTTAACCGTTAGTTCCCCTGGCAAACTGGACAAGTAAGGAAAGATCTTCAACGATGACAAGCCCGAGCACACAGGTTCCTGGAGACTGTATTCCCGAAACCCTGCACCCCTACGATAAGTTATGAAGCTTCTACCAAGCTTCTATTAGGCTCGTCCTCATCCACTCCCCTAAACCCTAAACCCCTAAACCCCTAAACCCCTCAACCCCTACACCCCTAAACCCTAAACCCCCAGACCAGAAATCACACATTCCGTGGTCTTTGGTTCCGCTTTTAAGGACAGAATGCTAAGCCAAGGTAGGAGACGTGGTATGCAATTTCCTTATTGGATTGAAGTAATGTCTAAAAGGTATTTCCCCAAGGAATTCGCAGAAAACCACACCGCCCTTGGACCACACTTCAAGTATAGCCAAATTGCTAAGCTCATGCGGGAACCCTTTTTTTGGCTGGCGCCAAAGCGCGCAGACACGCGCGCAGGGCTATAGCAAAAAAAACCCTCGACCCCTAAACCCCCTTCAGTCTCAGCAACGATCCCAGACAAAGCCTATCAACGTCCTGACAAAGCCCAAAAGCCCGGCGGCTTCGGTTTCGGGTTGGGTCCGGGGTTTTGACCGAAGGTTTTGAGCGAAACGTTTTGGACGGGTTTTGCTTTTTGACTTGCTGGGCTGGGCTGGGCTGGGCTGGGCTGGGCTGGGCTGGGCTGGGCTGTGGCTGGGCTGGGCTGGGCTGGGCTGGAAGGGAGGGAGGGCTGGGGCTTCTGCTTGGGCTGGGGCTGGGGCTGGGGCTGGGGCTGGGGCTGGGGCTGGGGCTGGGGCGGGCTGGGGCGGGGCTTGAAACGGAAATTGGTTTATTCCAAAATGATAGTTGCTGGACTGTCAGTTTGGAAATGGAAATTTGTTTATTCGAAAAAGCAAGCCTGGATGGCCA